AAGAAAATTTTTTTAGGATGTGTTTAAGTCGTCAATTTCATTAAGCACGTCCCTTCACAAATATTACGCAACGCTGCCTCTGGCCCTTGGGTACGCTCTGATGTACAGTAGGTGTCTAGTAGCTCTAGAGGGGTCACTGTAAATTGTAATGAATATGTTAATTTAAACTTTAAACATCTATTCAAGAAAAACCACGTTTATACATATTTTTAAAATTTTTGGTTACAGTATATGGAGGACTACTTATAAGAAATCTTGCTGTACATTTGATAAATGTTTGACTACGAAATAATTTCCAAATGTTCGTGATTTTAAGAAATTATGTCAAGGCGCTAAACTTTTTTTTTTAATTACACTAATAACCACTTATGAGTTACGAGGAGACTTGTATTAAAGTTTCAAGTTTTTTATGGAATGAAAAAATATTGATTGTCAATAATTGAAAAAACTGAAATAACCGAACATTTTTCTCATGTCTATAAAAAGTTTAAATAGGGTCAAAATATTTTGAAAAATTTGTTAAGTGGAAAATGGAAAAATAAATATTTGAGTTTAGGAAAACTAGGTACAATTTTCTATCTAAAACCACCCTCAAAGTTGAAAATTTAAGTATTATTTCGACTACTTGTGTAATGTGCACAAATTACACACAAAAAAATAATTAAAATTTAAAAAAGGTACACATCATTGTAAAATCAATACATTCATGATTCATCGCTCCGTTCAGAATCTAAAAAATTAAAATAATACTCGACACTTGAGTAATCGACGACCAAGTGTTTGGTTCACATTCGAAAATCATACATTATCCGATAACACCGATGATTATAGAATGGTTATGGCTAAAAATAATGTTTTATAATTTTTTTTTTTTTTTGTTGACGGAAAGCTATATAGATATCTCAATTTGTTGTTTTTATATTATACATTTTATGGTTTATACCCATACATTAATTAATAATTATTGAGTAATGACTATTGCAGAGTAGTTATGTATATTAATATATTATGCATAGTAAAATTATCTACAAACAGTCACAGTGCCAACTGCCATTAGCCATTGCAGCACTATTGTTAGTTCACGGAATAATGAAATTTTAAGTATTGAGATTTACTTGAGAATTTCTGTGAAATACAAACCGGAAATGACAGTTTCTGACATTCCGAGTCTGTCAAAAATAATGAGTAAAGTTATTTTGTTGCAATACTCAAAAAATATTATTCGTTGAAGTGTTAATACTTTTTTCGTTATTAGATTATTATTTACTAATTTACTATACATCGCACTAATACAAATTTCAAATATTTAGATTAATTGTAAGTTATTTAAACCCATTTGTTTTTGGAAAAAATTACTTAAATCATCTGTATTATTAATATAAAAATAAATTACTTATGGCAAAATAAATACACCTACATCCTACAATGAACTATCCAAGGAAATATAAGCTGACACACCGCTCCATTGGTAATAGTTTTTCATTGTATTCAATGATCTATCATTTTATCATAGTATTCAAATTTAACACATCCATTACAGTGAGTCATGTTTCGGGGACCTACTCAAATAAAGAAACTTTCTCGGTTTTTTAAAAATAATTTTAATTTCTAATAAGTTAAGATTTAAAGTATGGATAAAAATATGAAATTAAAATATTTATTGTAATTGATCAATGATTACTTATATTTCATGTTGCGTGATACTCATATTAATTGTCGGTAAGTTGTTGAGGGTAAACGTAAACCTACCTGTAAATTGAAATCTGACTGAAAATACATTCGATTAGGCTAAACTCAGAAATATGAAATAATTAGATCCGCAATCCTCTGTTTGAAGTATTTTCTTTCGTGTAATGGTATTTATTTAATATTAATTTTTTCACACTGTTACGCCTACGTCCCTTGAGATTTAACACGTATCTGTATTCTGTGGTCGATGCAACACAGTAATCAAGTATCGTAGATAAACAGACTGTACACAGTGATTTTTTTTGTATGTAAAACCTTTAAAACCTACTCATTATTTTGATGAGATATTTTTTTTTGGATTTCGGAAAATTTAAAGCACATGTAATTATAACATTATACGCATTTCTTTTATTTATTTTTACCACTATGAACGTTGCCTGTTGCCATAAAACCAAAACCAATTTATGTATTTTGTTAAATTATAAGCCGAAGAAAAATACTTTACAACAACATTGATGAAAAAATATTAAATATGGATGCATTGAATATTAATCGAAAAGTTTATGATTAATAGTTAATAAGCGTTTAGATTATTTAGACTAAATAATTTAGATGTCCTTGAAATTACTTATTTCCTACCATCTAAATTGTAAAAAAAAATTTCCTTCTTAAATTTAACTCTTCTTGTAACTTAGAACATTTTCCTAATTTTTGTAAGTTTAATTAAACATATAAGGGCCCCTAATTAATTTTGCAACCTGAACCAAAAATAGCCAGCCTGCCTCTGGAGTACTCTGTATATTTTAATACATTATATGGACTTATGCTAGAGTACATTGATGTATTACATCATTATTATTAAATATTATACTCATTTAGGAAGCCCCATATAAAACATATATTTTAAAAAAAATATGTGAATTAAAAAATATTTACAATACCAAAATTTAACACAACGATCATAAAATATAGTAATATTAGAAAGATAGATGAATTAGACTTTAAATACCAATTGGCTTAAACGGCAAAAATTTGAATTCTAGTTTGAAAAAAATTACTATGAGGCTGGTACTATAAATTAATACATTTACTTCAATCTATACAGTTATAATAGTAAGTTAAATAAATTAATATAGCATTAAGTTAATGTTAATTAGTCTACCATTGATGTTATATTTAATAATAACATGCAAAACCATGTATGAAATTATTTAAAACTGTTTCATAAACCTCTATAATATTGTCAAACATAAAATACTTAAATTTAAATTTAAAATGTTCTGATTTTTCAGGTTCTATCATGTTATAAGTGTATACTTAGTTGCACTTAGACCTGTAAAAGCATTTTAATGTAATTAACTTATCAAAGAAAATTCAAAAAAGGTATTCCAAAAATATTTAACTAATTATTTTTAATAATTTTTAAATCTACAAGGACTAAGATCGAGAATGTTAACCAATGGAGGCACTGATAACTACAATCTTAATATTACAAAATACTAAAAATTATACATAAATACAAATAAAAATGCAATGAAGCTTTTATTTTGACCACTTAAATATAGTTGTAATTATATTTTATTTAATATATCTGTAAAAAAAACAGGTCATTTTTATATGACACATTATGGGTTTAATGTATGGTAATTTTTCAATTATAATATTATAAGATACTACTAATAGGTACACTGTACACAATTGGTTATTTTATTTGGAGCTAAAATTCTAAAGTTATTGAAACAAATCAGCGGCTTTGTATAGAAGGTAGAGGTTACTCAAGAATTTAATTCCGTAAGATATGAGGGAGTTTCATATTATATTAAGTACTAAATGGCTAATGCAATCATTAAGTATTAGAAGAACACTTCTAAGCAAGGGCTGTCCTGTGTTGGTAATCTTTTATAAACTAAGTAAATTGTAAATATTGTGGAAACCACATAGGTAAAAAATTTGAAATAAAAATCTTTGGAATTGAGATATCATGAAATTGTTTCTACTAAAACAATTTATTTAAGGATTTTATTTCCATAAATTGAGACATCTATGGATCTATTTTCCTTTAAAATGAATAGTTTGTAGCAGTCCAAAAGTCATACATTTGTAAGATTGTAGAATAATAAGAAAAAAAGTTTTGGTAGATATTAAGATGGAACTATTTGATTTTCTTAATTTTATGTTAATTTAAACAAAATGTTTACCTTGATGTTAACTGTCATATTGTTGAAACTACATGCTCTCTCTATATGGCTTTGTTACATAGTTTTGCATAATGATTAAGTCGAGGATTAAGTATTTAAAAACAATTTTTTATGCACTTTAGCAAATCAAAAATAAAAATTTTCTCACTTATAATAGCTTAAACTGTTCAATAATTTCCACTGAGAGCAAAAAATAGTAATTTTTGAAAGTGAACCAAGAGGAGAAGTAGGCGCCTCTATGGGTCTACCCAGATCATTTTGTCATCCAGAATACCAGTATCCTCTAATAATAAATCAATTGATAATTGCATAATGAAAAATTGAAAAAATAATTTGTAAAAACTTATAAATTACCCAGATATAACACTTTTTAATCAAAATAAAAAAACTAAGTTCTTACTAGTTAATATCATTAAATAGTACAATTTACAAGATGTAAAACATTTTTGCTTCGTTTAACCATTTACACAAACATTTTTATGCCTATAATTTTCAATTAGTTAGCTTATTAAAATGATTTTTTTTTTCTGGAACACGTTCAGATGTGTTGAAAAACTTTATAATTTTCTCTTTATTTTTTTTATGTCACTAACAGTCGATTTACCTATTCCTTACTTCTCAGCAATCATACCACGGTTCTGGCCCATTTTCTATTAACTTAATTATTTCAATTTTTTGATCTAAAGTTAAAGTTACGTGTTTACGAGGAGCCATTGTAACAAACAAGAATAATAACCACTCGACAAAAAAGAAGTAAACAAACTGACCATCGATTTATTAATATATCTTTGCTAGGAACAGTAGGTAATAAAATTGACAAAATTGTATTAGTCGATAACAATATCTTATAGATTAATTGAGTTCCAGGAATTCTCGTAAAATCTATTGACGAACAATTGGAAATTATGCCATCCGCATTACTGCGTTCACCAGATTATCGGGGGTCCAAACTATCGAGGCACTACTGTTGTTAGAAAATTGAAGGATTAAGTGTACAGCTGTAGTATTGTCGAGTGACAAACGGTTTTGTCATAATGAAATAATGATAGATAGCTGATAAACACTGATTAGATTTACATCACATTTAAATTGTACACAATAAACATGACTTACGTTTAGGAAATTTTCGTTCTGGTCTAGCTTTCCTGGAAGATGAAAAAAATATAGGCCATCTGTCAATGGACGTTAACGATGGAGATCGAGAAGAACTTTTGATGCCGCTATCAAACGAATCCGAACTTTCTATAACGGCAGGTAAACCTTCGGCACTCGAATTATTCATGGCTGTACTGCACGAATCACTTTTTTTTTAAATTATTTAACAATTTAACCGGAAGACAATTCTAGTTTAACACCACTGTCAGTTTTTATTTTTTCTGTCGATACTACCAAAATATTGAAAACTTCTATTAATTTTTATTAAACCATTTAAACCTTATAACTTAAAAGTGATAACAATAAAAATAGTCTTTAGATAATTGATAAGAATATTGTTTTCGTCCACAGCTGACGTCTGGTTTTCATCACGGTTTAAAATATAGATAGTACAACTGCAGAATAACCACAGGAAAACTGCAGTTTGTTCTCCGCAAAAATATTTTAATATTATCATTTATCACTCATTCACTTATCAGTTATCGGTTGACAAGATAATACATATTACAGTAAAACTATAAGGTAAATATTTATTAGGTATTGATATTTACTATTTGTATTTGAAACTTGAGAACTGAGGGCTGACTACTTAATTATTATCTATATAATTTATGGTATTGCTGGGTAATGTGTATTCAATATAAATGTTAACATGGTAACATTATTAATTGTTACTATTAAATTATTTTAAATGTATCTGTGAATTCTGATGGATATACATACCCAGTATAGATTATATTTTTAATTTATTTTTACACATAAATGTCATAGTGTTTAATTATTAAAAAGGAAAAAATCATGGTCAATTGGACTATTTTAATACTGGGATTCTTTGCTCAGTTGATATTATTACTTTCTATTTTTGATATTTATTTCAAATCGCCAATCATCAGTGGTATACCAGACCAGCATGTTGATTATGCTCCACCGGCTGATCGTCTAGTGCTATTTGTCGGAGATGGATTACGTGCAGATTCGTTTTACAACTATGCCAATGGAAATAGCCTTTATTTCAAGTACCAATACCAAATATATACTAACATTGTTTTTATTTCATTAATATTATTATCATTATTTAATATTTTTCAGAAATTTATTGAAAACCAGTGCTACGTATGGTATATGTCGGACCCGAGTGCCAACTGAATCACGTCCTGGGCATGTAGCTCTTATAGCGGGATTTTATGAAGACCCATCAGCTATTTTTAAAGTATTATGACATTGTTTAATATATTTTTAGGAGATCTTATATCTACTCACAACTATACCAATTGTATTGATATTTTTGTTAAAAATATTGGCATATAAGTAATGCATATTACAGAAAAGATAAAACAAAATAGAAATTGTGTTTAGACTACTGCTATTTTAGAACTTTCTTTTTGAATGTCAATTAGTAATGTTATAACTTAATAATTGTTAAATATTTTATACTGTATCATGTTTTGAATGCTAGTAATACACCTATAATTTTTATTTGGTCCTAATCAGTAGTAGATATGAAATCTTTTACTTTTTATTGTATTACAAAAATACTTCTTGTTAAAAATATTTAATTTTAAAATATATTTCATAGGGATGGAAAGATAATGTGGTTGAATTTGATTCAGTATTTAATAAAAGTGATACAACCATTTCTTGGGGTAGTCCAGATATTGTTTCAATGTTCAAAAAAGGTAATAATTTCTTCATTTTTCAACATTATTAATAACTTAAATTTTATTTGTATGTTATTTTATAGGAGCAACTGCGGGCAATGTACAGACTTATACCTATGATTCTGAACTACAAGATTTTAGTGGCAAGAATGGTTCTAGTATATTTTTGTCAAAATGGGTAATTGATAAAGTTAAATTGTTCTTTGATGAGTCAAAAAATGATGAAATGATTCGAAGGATGTTGATGAAAAAAAAATTAGTATTATTTTTACATCTTTTGGGTACAGATGTTTCTGGACATATTGACAAACCACATTCAAAGTAAATTCATAAGATATATTTTTATTATTGTTCTTGTTTATGTTTCTTAAAAATTTAAAATTATGTTATGTTTAGAGAATATTTAGAAAATTTAATTTATATCGAAAAAGGTATTAAAGAAATAGAACAGTTAATAGAATCTTACTATAACGATAACCGTACTGCATATATATTTACATCTGACCATGGTATGACAGATTGGGGTAAGACTTGAAAACTGACATGTCTATGGCCTATGTATTTTAAAACTATAATTGTTATTATAGGCTCTCACGGAGATGGCTCAGCTAGCGAAACTGAAGTGCCCATAGTTACATGGGGTGCTGGGTTATCATATGCCAAAAAACTTTCAAACTCCTTGCCAGTGAATATTAATCAAGCTGATGTTGCACCACTTATGGCTACTTTAATTGGTGTACCTATACCTGTACATTCAGTTGTATGTATTAATTTAAAAATTAAAAAAACCATTTGGGCTATAATCAATTATAATTTTTTTTAGGGTATTTTACCTTTACATTTATTTAACACTGACGCTAAAGATCAAGCCAAATATCTTCTGGTTAATGCACTACAAATAAATGCTGCATTTTCTACAGCACGTGTAAAAATTGAACAGCAATTATTTAAATTATTTTATTCACCTTATGAATTACTCAGTACTAGTGTTCAGGATAGATATCTTCAAGATATTACAAAATTCATCAACCTTTCAAAAACTGACGAATGTGTAAATTGTTTTCAATAATATTACAATTGATAATGATTTATGTTATTAAAGATTTATTATTGTTTTATAGGTGAAGCTATGTTATGAGTGGATAAATTTAAGTTTACAAGGAATTCATTACTATAATACATATTACAAATTACCACTTCTTTTTTGTGTAACATTTATAAGCCTTGGTTGGATTACTCTACTCATACTTGAAACCAATCCTATTAAAAAGTGTCGAAAACTTAATAGATTGCATAAGTTATTAATCAATGGAACATTTTTAACAGTTGCTATATGTTCTTCAGTTTTTATTAGTGGTAAATGTTCTCTTGAATATTAGTTGAATTAATCGGTTTTAATTTCAAAATAATTTATTCTATTACAGCCCAATCTCTTCCAATCCAATTTTATGTGTACACATTTATGCCATTAATACTGTGGTGCATATGTATTACTAAGATTTTACAGATATTTAATCTATCACGTATAAGGCAAATGATAATACAAGTTAAAGGTCTAGAATTGTTTGAAATATTATTCTATTTGATTGGTATTGAACTATTGGTAAATTTAAAAATAATCTTAAAAGTAGATAAGCTTACAATTAACAATTATTTCTTTACTCATAGGTGTGGACATTTTTTGAACGTCGCATACTAACTTTAGCTTTAGCTATACTGTGCTTTTGGATGACGTGCTGTTCGATAGAAAATGGATTTTCACCCACTCAAATAGTTCTAATATTTGTTTCTTCTGCATTATTTGCTTCTTTCCCTACAGTAATTATTATTGATGGCCATGCAAATATAATTTACGTGTAAATACTTAGAATGCATATAACCTTCAGAATTATATTTAATCGAAAATGTATAAACCAGTGTTTTAGGTGCAATTATTTTGTTATTGGCAGGAGTACTGCACTACACAAACCAAAATGGAGTACGTAAGATAACTACATTGTTACAAGTATTATTCTTATCCATAGCTATTGCAAACGTTGTGAGTGTATCAAGTAGTATAGAAAATAAACAAGGGTTGTCATCAGTAAACAAAATAGTTGCTTGGACAATATCAAGTAATATAATATTTTATTATAATGTGATATTTCTGAAAATTACTCTTTGTAATATTAAAAATGTTTGTATGTTTTTAGTTTTATCAATGTTTTTGATCCGAAAAACCTCAAATCTTCTATCTAACAAAACGTCAGTTCTTTTATCAATTGGTATTCCTTATATTCAACTATCATTGAACTTGGAAGTATTATTCATGCTTGTTCTAGTAATAACATTATCGTGTTGGAGAAAAATTGTGATTCAATCAAAAGACTCTAGTCAAACTTTATGGACTCAATGGAGACATGCATTCTTTTTTGTAAGCAAATGTCATATTAGTATCTACCATTACATTTAATATGTATAAACTAATCGGACAAGCTTTTATAGTTGTTATTTAGCTTTGGATCTTTTTTCGGCACTGGGAATATTGCATCTATCAACTCATTTGATCCATCAATTGGACGGTGTTTTGTCTCAGTATTTTCCCCATTTATTATTATGGGATTGGTTTTATTCAAAATACTTGCTCCTATTTTATTGACTTGTTGTACGTTCTACCTCACCAGTATTAAATTAAAGGTTGGTTTTCTTTTTTTTATTAGAGAAATAATAAATTACTTAAGATCATTATTTTGATTTTAGATACCTCCAGTCAATGTGTTTGTTCTAATGTTAGCTATGTCCAACATAATGGGTCTTCATTTTTTATTTCTAATAAAAAATACTGGCAGTTGGTTGGATATAGGGATGTCAATATCTCATTATGTAGTTGTTCAATCACTTGCATTATTTTTATCCCTCATGTATGGACTGGCAGGATTATTAATCGGTGTTGAAAATAAAACCTCTGAAGGCAGTACTAAACAAATATTACCAACTACTACTAAAAAATCAACGTAAAGAATTAAAACTGGGAACATGTTATATTACTTATATTATTTTGTATAAAACAAAAATGAATTTGATTGTTTTTTTTATAAATTGCATAATAATCACTGTTATTATATTATGATCTCATAACATTATTATGATCGATATTCACTATGAACTTGGATATAAAGGATACACGACAGCAGTTATCAGTAAAATGTAGTCCTTATCCTATAAATAAATAGTATCTATATCTACAAAAATGAAAAATTAATACAACTTTTTTAAAATTATTTGCCTTTCATTAATTATTAGCTACAAACATAAAATCTGTAAAGGACAAATCTTATTAGAGTCTAAGAAATAATATTTTATCGATAACTTATGTTCCTTGTGTATCCTATATATTATACTAGTTAGTTTTATCAACATAACAAATGTTTTATTTTGTATTGTTTGCAATAAAAATATAAAATAATTTTTGTCACAAGATATTTTTACATTATATTTTGTAATACCATATAACTATAAATATATTAAACATTATTGTGAATACACTGTACACTGTTTGTTGAGCTGTGTTGCAATGTCCTAATTCAATATGTCGACATGCTGATGACACAAATTTATTTTCAGATAATGTTTCGGCAATTTTTCTTATAAAAATAGCTTCTTCTATTCCACACTTGATTTTACTTGTAGTATACACACAGTTAAGGAAACCATGTTTTGCGCTGTAACAAGATAAAAAAAAAAACGTGAACAATCAAAGTTTATGAATATCAAACATTTATAATTTATCAAAAGAATATATCATAAAACATCATAAGTTGTAAATAAACAAAAATAATAAATTACACAATTCTAGTAATTTGTGGTTACATTAAATGCGATTTATTATTATTAATACATATATTATAAACTTTGGTTTAGGAATAATGACAAACATTCAATTAATTTTAGCATTTAAATAATGTTTAAGACTAACATATTAGTGGTTTCCCAATATTCCTCTCCTTGTGGTGAGCTTAAACTATGATATAGGTAAATATATGTTTATGCACAAGATGATTTAATGAATATGTTCACAATTGTATGCTACAAATGTGTGGTAATATACACTTCACATTTAGAAATAGAATCACTCAGTTTATTTTAAATATTATCTACAAGAATACAAGATGACAAGATATCTTTGTTATAATAATATGTACTTGGATAAGAATATAAGATCAAAAATGTATACCATTGTATTGCAAGTTGCTATAAATAAAACATTAATATATTCTTACGAGAGAAAACCGTGTATCGAACCGTTTCAAATTAAAATATCCGACAGTCTAGCACAAAAGGACTTGTTTTACAATACCTACTTCGAGTTTGCCGTAAATAAATTTCAAGTGTTATAAAAAAAAATGCATAAGATTCCCACATTATTATATTAAATACATTTTGCAGTTATTCAAATATTGAAGGTACAGACAAAAATGATTATGTTACCAACCAAGTTTTTAGATTTTCAATGTATCATTAGATAGTATAATATAGAATTCACAAAAAAAAGAGCTGCAACAAAAAACATCAAAGTAAAAAAGTATGATTAAATATTTAACTTGACGCTTCTTAATATCTATATCAAAGAATAAAATGTATAAAAAACAAAACTTTTTTCAACACGATCAGTTTTTTAACTTTAAAATGAACCACTAAAACATAAAAAAATCATTATTTTTAGCTTTTGTACTGTATAAAATCAAGAAAAAAAATAAAAATTCGTGTTCTCATTTTAAATGACAAATTTCCAATCAGGCCAATAATTTTCGTAGTTAGCATGATCTGTAAAATGTATCTATTTCCATGTTCCGAATACTATTCAAAATATTCATCTAAGATAAAAAAATTGCAACAACTCAGTATAACTTGAACATCTAAGGTTATGTTCTAGAATCTTGATCGTGGATTTCCGATAAAGTGCGAGAGGGTTAAATGGACGGTTTATAATATGGCATAATTCAAGCACTCGACTATTATCCGTAAGGTCGCTGAAAATGACTGTAATAACTTGGACAAAAATAAAGTCTTATATTGAATATACTCTGAAAATGGTTTTCTACACAGCTATGTACCTTTATTGCCTAAACGTTGCGCCGTCCGACGCATTAAGTTTAAAAAGAATTCCGATGGGATTCAGGCCATCTGGCGACAAACAGCACACTGGACGTCGGGATACTCGTTTTGATTCGCATATCTTCGATCAGGACAGTGGAGTATTTTTATTATACATTTAAAAGTAATGTCGAATTACGAAGAACGTTACGGAGCGTACCTTGTGCACGGCTGTCATCGGTGGACTAAAATGTTTTAGTCTTATAGGTCATATTTATAATTTCAAATTGTTCATAAAAAAATAAACCATCTACATTTTTCCGAATTGAAGTCTCTAGTCTTAATACTTTTTTAAAGTTTTTGACCAAAATGCATTCATTGTTTCATAACATTTTCTAACATTTGTTTCATGATTTTTCATTACTCGTAGTTCACGCACTGTACCATGAACATCAAAAAGCGACTTCTTTAATGTCCTCATCATTCATTTACTGTATCTATTCCATAATGTAATTTAAACTTGAGTAATTTCATGTATCAACATTTTTTACTCTTATAATCTATATTAACAAATTAAATATTAATACAATCTGATTTAATTTAAAACAGTACATCTTTACTATTTGTCTTTAGAAAACTATATATTTTGCGCCGCACTACTTAAAATCAAATTATAAGATACAACGCAATGTATAAAACAGTGTAATTATAAATTATAATAGAGCGCTTAATGAGACGTCTTTTGTACTCACTGCCACTGTTTGGCATTTTCATTTACTTACCTGGCTACCTATATGTTTATTTTAATTATTTTCGGTGATGTAATAATATACTATTACCTTGTGTATACAATAATGAATTGTGCAAACATCTGATAACAAATAAACGGTTCAAGAGTTTTAATAAATTCTCGGAGACAAAGAAAACTTTTAAATCATCATAATATTATATATTTTGTTCTGTAACAATATGCATGGAACACTTTATAATATTATGTGGGCATAACTACTTTTAGAATGTCGAGTACAATATTGTAATTGCAAAACCGTTAATATTCATAATATTATATAATAGTAATATAATGACAGACACAATATAATAAGAAGTAGGTTTATACATGTTCATAGATTTTCATTCGCATTCATAAAATAAATAAAAATATAAAATGCTTTTGAAATATTAAAACGGATGTCAAGTGTACTCATATTGGAAATATGTTTTTCATAATAAAAACCTAAAGCACCTGCGCGTGTACTGTGGAAGTTTGACGTCTATTATTTTCTTATGGGTATAAGTACAACATTATATGTTACAAAATATTATGTATTGTTTATGTGTTTGTTTTTTATAAGCGTTTTTAAGTACTAACGACACTGCAAATGTGTATATCGTTTACTTGCACATTTTTATTTTGTTTTGGAAGTTAGAAGTGCACAAAATAATAGGTAACTGTGAATTTTCTGATAAGTAATGAATGTTAAAATATATTCATTACAAATTACAATTATTTTATTTTTCGTCAGCTGACATTTGGTGCTAGTTCGGTGGCCCGGACCTACAGAAATATTGGATTGTGAACACCTTCTATATTTTCTCACTTGTCGATATATGACATTATTTGTCTATCCACGATTATGTCGTTCGACCATATTATGGCACTCGGCTAGTTTAATACTTGAATTTATATTTAGTGAATCTATTTCTGCTTTAATTCTGCTCTATTTCTGCTATCAAATATAATATTCACCACGAACTGTGTATTAATTATTATGTATATATATCGCGTTAGGTAGCTACCGGTAACTTCCTACAATTACCTTCCAACGACCTACGAAACGAATTTTCCGTACAGTTCAGAGTTGAGTGAGTTTTACGAGTTATATACATATTTTAATAAGACTGAATAGATTTTTAAAAGACCAAAGTATTTGCATTATTCAGCAAAGAAAAGAGTTAGTTTTAAAAGTTAAATTGATTTTTATTCGGAATAAAAAGTAAACCAGGAAACTCGTTTTTTGTTGTTGCTTAAAACAATAAAACTTTTTCAGAACTGGTAGTACAAAGAGATCCAGTTTAATTAAAAACTAATTGAATAAGACACCCAATTTTACTTTTAAATATATGACAGAGACACAGCTAGAGTTGGTGATTAATGTTATTAAAAAACAAAAAAATTACGCAGGGGCAATAGTTTATGTGGGCAATTATTGTAAACTTGGCCCAGTTATTTTTTTTAGGTAAAAATGGTTGACACATAAACTCGGTCCAAATAAAAATAATATGCCCAGGTCTTTTCATATCTAGTTAATAATTATTTTATAGTATGTTTTAAGTATTTTTTTTAGCATATCCTAGAGGGCACAACGAGAAGGTGATTTTCATTATCCTGTGAAAGTTATTTCATTTTATTTTCATTTTCACACCTAATATTAAAAAATAATCAAATTTTTCATAGCAGAATTTATAATAAAATAATTGTGTATAATACGTTATACACATTATAACGTTATTTATTATTTTCAGATTAAATTATATTGTGCTTATTCAAGGTGAAAATTATCGGGTCAAGTTTACAATCGAATTTTTCCACTACCCGGAATTTCAGCGTATACAACCATAAAGATAATCTCGGGCCCAGTTTACATATTTTGTCCATTTATGTACCTAGTCTTAGAAACCCTAAGGTGGATTCTTCAGAATTATCTAGAAACATATTATATTAATTCTTTTATAAAATCTATAAAATATACCATTACAATTTATAACAATAATTGAACAACATAGCAAAGAAACCTGTCAGGATTCTTCAAATGTACGCGATGAATACCTCGATGCTAGTTAGGTAGTTTTGATATCAAAATCAAAATCAATAGTAAGTCATCAATTTTGAATAGCGGGTTCGGATGGAGATCGGTTAAAATCACACATGCTTGACATTCATTCACATTTTTTCTACACTTCGAGAAACCGTTGAGGACAATGAAACATGATCTCTCCTAAGCTCATTTCCACGAATACCGATTCCCAATCCTCGGAGGCGCGTTTTATAAGTGGAAGTTTTAGTGCACTCTCGCCAGTATAGGTAGGTTGCAAATAGTGTTTGTAGAAAAAGGCAGAGAAAAATATCACATTGAAACCAATAAATTCACTTTCAAATACGAAATTGTCTCGAATTTCAACCGAACCCATACGTTGAATTAAGTTCATAAATTAAATAGAATCGTTTCGTATGTGAACGCGTATGTAAACTACAGCGTAGTTTATATTGATCGATTTCGGTTTTTATTCACCTACTTCGCGGTTTTAAATAATAATATATATTCTCAGATAAGCCGTTGATCCTGCGGCCAACGTTTTTTGACCAAACGGATTTCTTTCATT